CCAGACACTCACCAAAGCCCCACCCCATTCCCCTTCCCGCGTAGTGGAACAATCGCATAAGCCATTCGCCCCAACCTAGTGTCAAACATATGTGTGTATGTTTAGTATACTATATAGGTTCATCCTATAGAGAGTACAACCCACTAGCTATATTCCTCTGTATGCTCACATTCTACTCATTCATTCTAACTCTGAGATGGTATCACGAGTAGGTTAGGTCCCATCCGCCCACCCGCGCTTCTGCCTTAGGTCCTAGCCGCCCCGCTGGCCCCACTGCCCTGTCGCCTAGCTGGCCCGTTGGCCCCGTCCCCTAGCGCCTGCTGGCCCCGCAGCCCTGTCACCCAGCACCTAGCCACCCCGCTGGCCCCGCGGCCCCGTCACCTAGCGCCTAGCCGCCCCGCTGACCCCGCGGCCCCGTCACCTCGCCTAGCCACCCCGCTAGCCCCGCGGCCCCGTCACCTCGCCTAGCCGCCCCGCTGGCCCCGCGGCCCCATCACCTAGCGCCTAGCCGCCCTTGGCCCCGCGGCCCCGTCACCTAGCGCCTAACCGCCCCGCTGGCCCCGCGGCCCCGAAACATCGCCTAGCCGGCCCGCTGGCCCCGCGGCCCCGTTAGCTGCCCCGCTGGCCCCGCGGCCCCGTCACCTCGCCTAGCCGCCCCGCTGGCCCCGCGGCCCTGTCACCTGGTGCCTAGCAGCCCCGCGGCCCGGTCGCCTAGCCGCCCCGTCGGCCAGTCGCCAAGCCGCCCCGTCGACCACTCGCCTAGCTGCCTCGTCGACACGTCGCCCAACCGCCCCACGAGCCTGTCCCCTAGCCACCCCGCGGCCCCGTCGCCTAGCCGCCCCGTCACCTAGCCGCCCCGCGGCCTCATCACCCAGCTGCTCCGCGGCTGCGTCGCGCAGCCGCCCCCTCCTCCACCCTTGGCCGTGTTTCCTGGTCCCCTCTCACTAATCCGGCCCTCACTACCATCCTGGACTGCACCCCACCGTGCTGCACTGCTCAGCACCGCGCGGCACCGCACTGCACCGCACCGCGCCGTGTCCCACCGCACTGCACCGCTCCGCACCACGCGGCACCGCATTGCATTGCGCCCCACCGCACTGCATTGTACAGCACTGCTCTTCACTGCTCCTTGTCGTTCCGTCCCGCCCTTCACCGCCTGTTCCGGCTGCAGCAGCCATAGTGACGGACTCGGTGCTGCGCTTTGACGCCGAGGGTGAGTCGGTTGAGTTCGACGCATGGCTCGTCGACTTCCGCCGTCGCCTCACTGGTCAGCGGCGGGACGGCCATTCCCTGGCTGTCCACATTGGCTGTACGCTACCCTGCCCTGACCCCCCTACTGCTCTCCCTGCTAACCCCACGTCTGCTGACTGTGAGTCCGCCGCCGCTGCTACCCTTGCCCGTGCTGTCTGGCTGTTGCGTGACGCTGTTGCTCAGCTCGTGATTAGCCATGCCCTCCCCCTGTCTGAGCGACCCCGCTTTAAGTCGCTCAGGACTGTGCAGGAGTTCCTAGAGGCTGTTGTCGAGCGTTATTCCACCCCGTCCTCTGCCTCTGCCAGCCGCCCGATCCTTCCCATGCTCTTCTCTGATCTCGCGTCTTTCTTCCACGTAGCTGACCTGGCCACGCACCTGTGCACGCTCGACGCGAGTTGGCGCACTGCCTTCTCTGAGGCCAAACTTAGTGTGTTTCAGCCCCCTATCTGCTTTACCCTTTACCTGCTTGCCACCCGCCTTCCTGACCACCTGGCCACTGCCTGCGACCACTTTCTGAGTCTCCACCCCGCTGACCTCACCCTCTCGAACTTTGTCGACACCCTGTCTGCCATAGAGTCCCGACAGCGCTCTATCGCCCAGTCTAGCGGTACTGTGCCAGTCCCTATCTTTCAGGGTTGTGCTCCCGCTCAAAGCACTTACTCTGACGGTATTGCGGCTGTCGCTGAGAAAGCCCCTGCTGATGAGACCATTGTCGTGGTGGCCGCAGCGCAGTCTCGTTATGGTAAGGCCCGTCGTCCCAAGGCTGGGCGCGGCGGTGGTAGTGGAGGAGGGGGTGGAAGTGGTGGTGGAGGTGGTTCTTCTGCTGGTGGTAGTACCGACGAGGGGGCTGGGGCTGGTGCCTCGGTGCAGCAGCCCTAGCGGGAGTAGCAGCAGGCACCACAGCTTGACCAGCAGCAGCAGTAGCAACCGCAGCAGAAGCCGCAGCAGCAGCAGCAGCAGCAGCAGCAGTTGCAGCGAAGGGTCGGCCGCCTCCCGCCCGGGTGGCCTGGCGCCGCTGGCGGTGGTGGTCGCGGTGGTCGTGCGCGTAGCTCGTCGTCGAGTGGTGGTGCGAGTGACGGGCACTACCAGTACCAGCTCTAGACCTGTCCTTGTCGCGGCCTTGTGTGCGGTAAAATCGGTCATACCACCATTCGCTGTTTCAGTCGCCTAGATGACCTGTTTCGTCTTTGCTTCGGCCCCCCACCGTACCTACCTCACTGGCATAGTCTGCTTCGCCGTGGTGTTAGGATCTTTTATATGGACATGGATGAGATTAACTCTGCATTGTATGCGCTGTATGTCGATGACTCTAGTGTGACTGGTTCCTATTACCCCGTGTTGCCTAGGGTAGGTGTGCCCAGTATGCTTAGTTTAGGCTCCCCTACTGTATCAGGCGTAGGACCACTAGCTTTGTTTAGCCTTGGCTCCACTCTAGCTCCTCCGCCCCTAGCCGCCATTGCCGCGCTCTCCTTCACTCTCAACTCTGGCGCGTCTCGGTGTTTCTTTCGGGACCACACTATGCTTACGCCGTTTGCCATCCCTGCCGCAGTTGCCCTTGCAGGCCCTTCCTCAGGTCCGGTAGTCGCGCGTAGCTCCACCACCCTCTCTTTTCCAGCAGTTCCCTTGGGCTCTCTTACAGGCCTGCACATCCCCTCATTCTCACGGAACCTAGTTGGTGTCGGCTGCCTTCACGACCTCGGCGTCACCACAATATTCCCTGGTCATGAGAGGTACGGTGTCTGTACCGAGGCCGCCACTGGTGCCCCCCTCACCACGTTCCCCCAGGACCCGATTTCTGGCCGGTTCACGCTGGACACCGCGTCCCCCTCGATTGGGACCCCCCCCAGGTGCAGCGTCTACCCAAGTTGCTGTGGCTTGCTCGTGTTGGTCACTTACTCACCCATCGCTTCTGTGGCACCACTGCCTAGGTCACCCCGCCCTCACATGTCTCCGTCACATGTCTCAGCAGGGTCTTGTCTTACGTCTCGCTGCGTCGTTCCCTGCGCTCCCCTCCTCAGCAGCGCCTCCGTGCACGCCTTGCGTCGAGGGTCGGCTCCACCGTGCCCCTCACTACTCCTCGTTCCCCCCTACCACCGCACCGTTGCACACATTGCACATGGACGTCTGGGGCCCCGCCCCCGTCCATGGGCCGTGTCGCGAGTGTTACTTCCTAGTCCTTGTCGATGACTACACTTGCTACACCACCAAGGTCGGCGTGCCCGATGTTCTTCTCTCATGGTTTGTCTTTACGCGTGTGCACCGAGGTCTCCCTGTGTTGCGTCTTCACTCCGACCGTGGTGGCGAGTTCGCCTCTGGCTGCCTTGGTTGCTTTTGTCGTGCGGAGGGCATCACCCAGACGTACACCGTGCCGGACTCCTCGCACCAGAATGGGGTCGCTCAGCGACGCATCGGTTTGGTCATGGAGGTGGCTCGTACCTCCATGATCCATGCCGGTGCACCCCATTTTCTATGGCTCTTCGCCGTTCGCTACGCCGCCCACCAGCTTAGCCTGTGGCCACACCCTCAGCAGCCGCAGGTTTCGCCGACACTCCTCTGGACCGGGTCTCCAGGTCACGCGTCTGTCTTCCACATTTGGGCCTGCCTTTCTCACGTTCGTGCCTCTGGCATGGACAAGCTCACTGCCTGCACAGTCCCCTGTGTCTTCCTAGGTGTCCCCCACGATTACTCTGAGTGGCACTTCTACCATCCGTCGTCTCACCGTTTCTTTCACTCTCGCGACATCACCTTTGACGAGTCTGTCTCATTCTACCACCGCTTTCCCCATCGTGGTCCCTCGGTTACTCCTCTTCAGTTTCTGGTTCCCCCTCCCCCGGTCGCCCCTGCTCCTCCCCCTCCCCATCCTGCCCCGTTTAGTGTGTCTCAAATCACTCCCCTCCCCTCAGTTGTCCCGGTTGAGGAGTCGGCTGATTCCCGTGGCCCTGCGGCGCAGTTGTCACCGCCTGTTTCTGCCCCGGTGTCTCCTCCTCCGTCGTCGCCGCCATCGCCGCCGCAGCCGCAGCTGCTGTTAGGATTAAGGACGGAGTCTAGGTGAACTTAGGAGCTAGAATTACTCAAAATATAAATCCGAAATTCTGGACAGAAAAGTCGTCTTCACAAGAAACGACGTCGACAAACAACTAGCCGTTGGAATGTCGCGAAACTTGGATATGTTGTAGCTCTTAATCTCAGCTACCGTTCCCAATTTGAATCATGTTGATTGATAAAGTATTCGCGACGCTATGGCTTTCGACGCACTAGGGGGTAAGCTGTAGGAGGAGAACTTAACTCAATCTCAAAGGTTCAATCAAAGTTCAAGAATCTCACAAGGAATTAGAAGGAGCAAGAGAAAGGTTGGGATAGAAGAGAGGGATGAGAGGGAAGGTCCCAAGAGAGTCCCCAACCAAGGAAACCCCATAAGCACAAAGATTCCCTCCCTATAGGAACCCCAACTTTGACATTTGTCCCTTCCCAACCAATCCATCCAAGTTGGCCACCCTTGCCAACCTAGCTTGGTTGTTCCCAACCAATTTGCAGCTGTTACAGTAGAGTGACGAATTTCCCCAACCCCAAAGGTCCCAACTCCATATAAAGTCACCCCACAACTTCACTTTGTAACCGCCGCAATTGTAACGCAAGCTCATGAACTTTGAATCTTCATAGCTTTCGCGTTCTTGCTCCGATTGACGCGATTCTTGTTGCGTCGGAAAGATCTTCTCAAGATCTATCATCACAAATACCTGCTCAGACAGAATAACACAAAACACATTCCCAAACTCCAGAACACACACCACACAAATTCTTTCACACACAGTCAAACCATACGTGCGAATTGAAACAAGGGATGGGAGGCAGACAGAATGTGATAACATATGATGACATCACACAACAATCTCCCCCTCTGGCTGCCAACCATCATCGACCATACCACATCTCAAGCATGCATACTCAATGCACACTCATCCCAGCAAGCTTCATGCCCTTCCAATGATCCGCCTCCGCCAGACGCTTAGTGAAAATATCTGCTGCCTGCTGATGGGTCTTCACTATCTCCAGCCGCACCTCCTTATCAAGGAGTCTCCTCACCCAGTGCCACTTAGGCCTTATGTGTTTTGTCAGCCCATGCAGACAAGCATTCTTGGCGAGCTTCACAGCAGACTCATTGTCACAGAACACAACTGTCGGCTCCTCCTGACCAACTCCCAACTCCTCCAACAAACGCCTTAGCCACACTACTTCCTTGGCCCCATGGTGTAAGGCCATGTACTCAGTCTCACATGAGGACAATCCCACCTCATTCTGCTTCTTGCTGCGCCAGCTCACAGCACCACCTCCTAGCAAGCACACATAACCCCCAATGCTGGTGCCATCCGCTTTCACTGAGTTGAAGCTAGCGTCAGTATAGCAACTCAAGAGCATCTTTCCACTCTTCACATCTGCAGCACCTCTCTGCAACCGCTGCCTCACTCCACTGTACTCCAATCCCACTGATGCCGTAGCACTCACATAGCGGACCAACCTCTTGGCCGCTTCCAGCTGCTCATGACTAGGGCGTGAGACCACACTAGCCAACCGTGATGTAGCAAATGCAATGTCAGGCCGTGTATGATTTGCAGGATAATTCAGCGACCCAACCATCGAATGAAACAGCTTCCTGTCACTATCACCCACTACCTCCTCATCAGCACATGGCTCCACAGTGAACCCCGAAGGTAGTGGTGTTGCTGGCTTTCCCCCATCTTGCAGCCCATACTTCTCAGCCAGCCCCTCACAGTACTTCCTCTGGTGCAACCTCAGCACACCCTTTTCCACATCTCTCTCCACGTGCATCCCCAAGTAGTACTTCGCCTCACCCATCTTGGAGCACTTGAACTGCATCTCCAGCATCTGCTCTGCGCTGTCCAGCAAAGCAGTTGATGCAGAAAAGAGAAGGATATCATCCACATACACCAAGAGCATGAGGATTTCGTCCTTCTCCTGCAGCAGGAACAGGCTGGGGTCACACTCACTCTTCTTGAAACCCCCAGCCAGCAGCGCCTCCTCCAACTTGTGATACCATGCACGAGGCGCCTGCTTAAGGCCATAGATGGCCTTCTTCAGCCTGCAGACCCTGCCGCTCCCATCATCCAGCCCCTCTGGCTGCTTCATGTACACCTCCTCCAGAATGATCCCATTCAGAAAGGCAGTCACAATGTCCATCTGCCGAATCTTCCATCCCAGGAGTGCAGCTATCGCCAACAGCACCCTCAATGTTGTTCCTTTCCCCACAGGAGCAAACACCTCATCATAGTCCTTCCCCTTTGTCTGCTGAAACCCCCGTGCCACAAGCCTAGACTTGTAGCGGGTCAGCTCCCCTTCAGGTCCATACTTGTGCCTGTAGATCATCTTGGAAGTGATTGCCTTCTTTCCAGGAGGCAAGTCACACAGGTCCCATGTCTCGTTCTCAATTAGGGACCCGAACTCCTCATCCTCACTCGCCTTCCACTTCTCCCCATTTGGTCCATTCAAGGCCTCTTCTCGAGTCTTGGGCTCAGGGATTGGTGCCCAGTAGCAGTGAGCGATCTCATCTTCCTCAATCTGCTCAACCACACTCCCAGCCTGCACCACATTCGGCTTGCCTCTTCCCCCATAGGTCAGCCTCACTGGAGGGCGCACATCCCTCCTAGGACGCTCAGGCGGGTGTGGAACTCGAGGTGGAGACTCATGCTGCTGCTGCTGCTGCTGCTCTACTTCAGCTGCTCCCCCTTCCTCAGTCACCCCAGACATCTCCTCCTCTGACACTGCAACCTCCACCTGTCTTGAAGGCTGCTGCACCTCATCTGCCTCCACAATGAGCGGTGTAGATGGAAGCTTCTGTTGCTGCTGCTTCCATTCCTTGTAGTACAGGGACTCAAGAAACTTCACATCCCTTGACACTGTCAACTTCTGGGTGGTCAAGTCCCATAGCAGCCACCCCTTGTGATCCTTTGCAATCCCCAAGTGCACACCCCATCTTCCAGAAGCCTCCAACTTCCCCCTTTTCTCCTTAGGCACATGAAACACCACCATGCACCCAAATGCCCTCAGCATGTTCACAGCTGGAGCACTCCCATACCACTTGACGTATGGGATCCACTCCTTATCTCCAACTGTAGCCAGCACCCTGTTCTTCACAAGGGCGACCTGCCTCAGTGCAGACACCCAAAACGGATCAGGCAGCCCTGCACGCCCAAGGAGAGTGCGTGCCCCCTCCTGCAGGGTCCTGTTGAACCTCTCAGCCACGCCATTCTGCTGTGGGTTGTAGGGCACTGTCAGTTGATGCTGGATCCCCTTCCTCTTCAACTCCCCCTCAAAATCAGCTCCAATGAACTCCCCACCATTGTCACTACGGATCACCTTCACCTTGTGTCCGCATTCCCTCTGAGCTCTCGGCATCCACTCCTTAAGGACAGCCGCTGCCACCTCCCCCTTGCTCTTCAAAGGGTAAACCCACACTGCCCAAGTGTGGTCATCCACAATTGTCAAGAAATAGCGGCTGCCTGAGAGGGAAGGGGCTCTTGTGGGCCCCACCACATCCATGTGCACAAGTGCAAGTGGGGTCTTGGATGGTCCAGTTGCACTGTTGAAGGGGAACTTGGAGAACTTGGTCTCCAAGCATGTAGGGCAGCTCCCAATCTCCTTCACTTCCCCTTTCACCTCCAAGCCCTTCAGGCTCCCATTCTTCACCAACTTCTGCAGCATAGGGAAGTTCACATGACACAACCTCTCATGCCATGTCTCCCAATCGGCCTCTCCACTCCTTGATGAAGCCTTAGCCCATGCCGCACTCGCATCCACACCAGCAAGCACCTCACCATGTGTCTGCTGCTGCTGCACTTTCTTGACTGCTTCCAGGACCCCATCAGTTGGTGCAGTTGCATCTCCTCCTGCTGTTGCCTTTGCCACTGCTGCCGTTGCTGCTGTTGGAGTCTTCCCATTCCAAGGGATGATGGGCAGCTGCCACAGGTCCTTGATGCAGCTGGTCTCCTCTTCCAGACTCCACAGCACCTTCTTCCCAAGCTTAGCACGGCAGCTGGTTGGTCCAAAGGTCACTTCGGCCTTACTCTTCTGCAGCCGCCGCACAGAGAGAAGGTTAGCAGACAAGCCTTTAACCAGCAGAACATTCCCAAGCCCCACAAGCTCCCCATTAGCTCCCTTAACCTTGGCATTCCCAACACCAATCACGGGGAGCAAAGCACCTGACGCTGCTGCCACATACTTAATCTTCCCAGGGGGTTTTACCTCATCAAGCAAATCTGCCCGTGGGGTCATGTGACTGGTGCAACCCGAATCAATCACCCAGTGCGTGAGAGGGTGCATCACAACCTTTCCCACAAATCCCACATCACCCTCATGCCCATGCACATCCTCAACCATAAGAAACAAACCAGGATAGGCATTACCTTGTGCACCTTCACCTTGTGCACCTGAGCCTTGCACAGCGCCACCTTGTGCGCGTTCACCACTGGGTGGCTTCATGCCTGGAGGTGCCCATCCCTCCGGCCTGCTGAAGCACTTGAACCAAGGATGCCCTATCTTCTTGCAGTACCAGCAGGTGCCCTCCATTCTGGTACTCCCCCTGCCACTAGAGCTCCCATGCCCCTCATTATAGTCACCTCGGCCTCTACCTCTGCCAAAGCTCCTCCCACGGCCTCGGCCTCTCCAACCCCCTCTTCCTCTGCCGCGCCCTGCAGCTCCATACCCCTCAGCAGTCTTAGTGGCAGCACCGCCTCCCACATGGCGTCTGCGGAAGTCCTCCTGCAGAATCTGCTGCCTTAGCCACTCAGGTGTCCATTGATCTTGTTGAGAGTTGAGGGTGGGGATGAGGTTGTCCCAAGAGTTGTCCAACACCGAGATGATCTTGGTGCACTGCTGCAGCTGAGATACACTGCTGCCCGCTGCTGCCATCCTTGCATAGGTGTCCTTGATCTTGTCAAGGACCGGCTTCACATCGTCCCCTGGTCGCATGGAGATGGCAGCAAGTTCCTTCTCGAGCACGATCACCATCAGGAGAGTGTTGGGCTGAATCACATCGCGTAGTAGTTTCCACGCCCTTGGACCCGAATCATCCGCTTCCACAAGATCCTTGATGTGCTCGAACATCTCCTTGTTGACCGATTGAAGGATGAGGTCGAAAAGCACCGTGCTTTTCTCAATCCACCGTTCACGTGCTTCGCCTTCTTCCGGCATCTTCTCTTCCCCAACAGCAATCTTCAGTAGCTTGTAGCGTTTGAAGGCACTCCTCATCCGTCCGCTCCATTCCTCATAGTTGGAGCCATCCAAAGCTTCAACTTTTGATGGCGGCGGCTCACTTGTCTTCTCAGGTACAGCTCCTCTTCCATTAGCATCTCCTCCTCTCTCATTCATCTTCTCCTTGAGAAATGACGAATTTCAGCTCCCCTTTGCTGTCCACACTCAGCTCCCTCGATATTTTCACAAGTGTCGGCGTCCACGAAATTTCGGCAGAGTTTCCCCTTAGCGGAAGACACATCCAACCTTTAGAACACCACTTAGGCACACCCACAGGCCATGGTGGGTCTAGAAGGGTCTTCAAACTTCTGTAGACTCCTCTCAATGTCCTTAATATTGCTCTGATACCACTTGTTAGGATTAAGGACGGAGTCTAGGTGAACTTAGGAGCTAGAATTACTCAAAATATAAATCCGAAATTCTGGACAGAAAAGTCGTCTTCACAAGAAACGACGTCGACAAACAACTAGCCGTTGGAATGTCGCGAAACTTGGATATGTTGTAGCTCTTAATCTCAGCTACCGTTCCCAATTTGAATCATGTTGATTGATAAAGTATTCGCGACGCTATGGCTTTCGACGCACTAGGGGGTAAGCTGTAGGAGGAGAACTTAACTCAATCTCAAAGGTTCAATCAAAGTTCAAGAATCTCACAAGGAATTAGAAGGAGCAAGAGAAAGGTTGGGATAGAAGAGAGGGATGAGAGGGAAGGTCCCAAGAGAGTCCCCAACCAAGGAAACCCCATAAGCACAAAGATTCCCTCCCTATAGGAACCCCAACTTTGACATTTGTCCCTTCCCAACCAATCCATCCAAGTTGGCCACCCTTGCCAACCTAGCTTGGTTGTTCCCAACCAATTTGCAGCTGTTACAGTAGAGTGACGAATTTCCCCAACCCCAAAGGTCCCAACTCCATATAAAGTCACCCCGCAACTCCAACTCCAACTTCACTTTGTAACCGCCGCAATTGTAACGCAAGCTCATGAACTTTGAATCTTCATAGCTTTCGCGTTCTTGCTCCGATTGACGCGATTCTTGTTGCGTCGGAAAGATCTTCTCAAGATCTATCATCACAAATACCTGCTCAGACAGAATAACACAAAACACATTCCCAAACTCCAGAACACACACCACACAAATTCTTTCACACACAGTCAAACCATACGTGCGAATTGAAACAAGGGATGGGAGGCAGACAGAATGTGATAACATATGATGACATCACACAACAGCTGCAGCCGCCATCTGTGGGCTCTGGGGGTTACACAGGTGCTGGAGAGGGTCTTGGTTCTGGGGGTGCTAGTCCTGGGGTTACTGTCGTAGCTTGCCCCAGCGGTCTCGGGGGTGGCACCAATGCAGGAAAGGGTTCTAGTCCTGAAGAGGTTGGTTCTGGGGGTGCTGGAGTGGAGCTTTCTAGAGGTAGTCGTGGTCCAGTTGGAGGTTCAGCAGTCGGCGTGGAGTAGCAGCAGCAGCCGCCGCAGCAGCACTCGTAGGAGCAGCAGCAGCCGGAGCAGCGGCAGCGGTCACCGCCGGTGTCTGCCCTTTGCCTGCTTGGCCTTCCCTCCCCTGCCCGCTCGCCTGCGCCTCCCCCGCCCCCTCCTCCTCTTCCTATCTATGGTCCTGTCTTTTCTCCGTCGGACTCGTCTCCGGCTCGTCTTCCCCCTCGTTCCCCTCCTATGTCTCCTCCCGTGTCTCCTGACCCGACGCCTCCGTCTCACGTCTAGTCTCGCCGTCCCTCTCGTGCTCATCTTGTTTCTCCCGTATAGCGTTCCCACCCTGTGTTGCTTTGTTCCCACGCCTCTCGTCCTCCTCATCTCCTATCACCTCCTTTGTCCTCGCTTGTTTTCGCTCCGCCATCTCTATCTGACTACCTTCATGTCGCTCGTTCCTCGGGTCCATGCCTCTCTCGTTACCAATCCGTCTGTTCCTATCTCGAGTCTTGACGCGCTTGTTGTTGCCATCGCTGGCTTTGCCTCCGGTCTTTGACCCTACCCGTCCTCCGTCGGTCGAGCGTGCTGCTGCCCTTGGCAGTGACGTCCTGGAGGACCGGCAGTACGAGCTTGCTTTCCTGTCTGAGGCTGCGCCCCATATCTGTTCAATGCTGCTAGTCCCTGAGGGTGACCCTGACGCCTTTGACATCCTGACCCCTCGCACCTACGCTGGGGCAACCTCAGGACCTAGGGCCTCTCAGTGGATATCTGTAATGAAGCAGGAGATGGCATCTTGGAGATCCACCGGCACCTTCATCGACGTAGTTCCCTTACGTGGGGAGAACGTAGTCAATGGTCGGTGGCTGTTCAAGGTGAAGCGCCTCCCTGGAGTGCCGACTGTGTTCAAGGCGCGCTACGTGGCTAAAGGCTTCAGTCAACATGATGGGGCGGACTTATTTCAGACCTTCGCCCCGACCCCGAAGATGACTACTCTTCGGGCGCTGCTATACGTAGCAGCTCAGTGTGACTACGAGCTGCACTCCCTCGACTTCTCCACTGCGTTTCTTCAGGGCAGCCTACACGAGCAGGTCTAACTGCGTCGTCCGAAGGAAAGCTGTGGAGAAGGTAGACATGCTTGTGTAGACTGCCCTGGAGGAAAGCTGTGGAGAAGTCGAGGGAGTGGAGCTCGTAGTCACGTTGTGCTGTTACATGTAGCAGCGCCCGAAGAGTAGTCATTTTCGGGGTCGGGACGAAGGTCTGAAAGAATTCCACCCCCTCACACTGACTGAAGCCTCGAGCAACGTAGCGCGCCTTCAAGACAGGCGGCTCTCCGGGAGGGCTCTTCACCTTGAAGAGCCATCGGCGATCGACTATGATCACCCCAGGTGGGGGAACTGCGTCGACGAAGGTACCAGTGGATCTCCAAGATGCCATCTCCTGCTCCATCGCAACTCTCCACTGAGAGGCCCAGGGTCCCGAGGTGGCCTCGGCGTAGGTGCGAGGGGTCGGGATGTCAAGGGCGTTTGGGTCACCCTTAGGGACTATCAGCATGGAACAGAGATGGGGAGCGGCCTCAGACAGGAAAGCGAGCTCGTACTGCATATCCTCTAGGACGTCACTGCCAAGGGCAGCCACACCCCCGACGGATGGAGGGCAGGCAGGGTCAGAGACCAGAGCGGTGGCGTTGTCAAGGCAGCACGTAGCGGCGAAGTCAGTGACAGCAGCGACAAGAGCCGTCGGACGCGAGACAGGAACGGACGGGTTGGTAACAATAGAGGCAAGGACATGAGGAACAAGGGGTCGCACAGCACAGAGGAAGTCAGAAAACGGGGGCGGGGCCACAGCAAGCGACGATGGAGGAGGAGACGGGAGGAGCGGAGGAGCACGAGACCGGTGGGAGCGAAGCCACATAGGGTGATACCATTGAACAGGGGAGGTAGGACGAGCGAGGGACAGACGACGAGACCAGACGTGAGACGGAGGAGTTGGTTCAGGAGAGGGGAGGAGGCACAGGAGGAGAACGGGGAGGGAAACGAGCCGGAGAGGAGTCTGAGGGAGGAAACAAGGGGCCGTAGACCCACGGAGGAGGAGGCGGCGGCGACGGAGGAGGCACCGCCAGGCGATCAGGGGAAGGAAGACCGAGGAGGCGAAGAGCGGACATCGGCGGCGACCGGTGCGACTGCTGCTGCTGCTGCTCCACGCCGCCGCCGGAGCCTCCAGATGCACCACGAATACCTCTAAGATGCTCCACCCCAGCACCCCCAGAGCTAAACTCCTCAGGACTAGAACCCTCTCCAGCAACTACGCCACCCCCAGAGCCCACGAACGGCGGCTGTGTCGGCGGGGGCGATGGCGGCTGCAGCTGCGGCGGTGATGACGGTAGAGGAGGAGACACCGGGGCAGAAACAGGTGGCAAGAATGGCGCCGCGGGACCACCGGAGTCAGCCGACTCCTCAACCTGGACAACCGAGGGGAGGGGAATGAAGTGAGACACACCAGACGGGACAGGACGGGGGTCAGGGGCGACCGGGGGAGGGGGGACCAGGAACTGGGGGGGAGTAGCCAGGGGACCACGGTATGGAAAGCGGTGGTAGAAGGAGACGGACTCGTCAAAGGTGACGTCGCGAGAGTGAAAGAAACGGTGAGACAGCGGGTGGTAGAAGTTCCAATCAGATGAGTTGAGGGGGAAACCTAGGAGGACACAGGGGACAGTGCGGGCAGTGAGCATGTCCATGCCAGAGGCACAAACATGAGCAAGGCAGCCCTAGACGTGGAATGCAGATGCGTCACTAGGGAACACGGTCCAGAGGAGGGTCGGCGAAACTTAGAGTGCGGCCACAGGTTAAGCTGGTGAGCAGCGCTGCGAACAGTGAACAGCCACAGAAAATGGGGTGCACCGGCATGAATCATGGAGGTACGAGCCACCTCCATGACCAAACCGATGCGTCGCTGAGCGACCCCATTCTGTTGCGAGGAGTCCGGCAGGGTGAACGTCTGGGAGATGCCCGCCACACGACAGAAGCAACCAAGGCAGCCAGAGGCGAACTCGCCCTCACGGTCGGAGTGAAGACGCAACACAGGGAGACCTCAGTGAACACACGCAGAGACAAGCCATGGAATAAGAATGTCAGGCACGTTGGCCTTCCGCTCCAGGGGAAAATCCATGGTGTAGCGCGTGTAGTCGTCGACAAGCACTAGGAAGTAACGCTCGCGACGCGGCCCATGGATGGGGGCGGGGCGGGGCCCCAGACGTCCATGTGCAGGGTCTGTAGCGTTGCGGCGGTGGGGGGGAACGAGGAGGAGTGAGGGGCACGGCGGAGCCGGCCCTCAATGGAGGGTAGTGCGGGGAATGACGGAGAGAGACCTAAGAGAAGACCGTGCTGAGACATGTGACGAAGAAGCCGGTGGTGACCTAGACGCTGGTGCCACAGAAGCGTCGGGTGAGTAAGCGACCGACACGAGCAAGCCGCAGCAACTTGGGTATACGCAGCCACCTGGGGAGACATCCCAACCGGGGGGGACGTGGTGTCCAGAATGAACAGGCCAGACACCGGGTCCCGGGGGAACGTGGTGAGGGGAGTATCAGTGGCGGCCTCGGTACAAATAGGGAAAGGTGGTGGAGCTACGACCAGGGAACGTAGTGGTGACGCCAAGGTCCTGGAGGCAGCCGACGCCAACTGGGTTCCTAGAGAACGAGGGGATGTGCAGGCCTGTAAGGGAGCCCGAAGGAACCGCCAGTGGCGGAGTCCAGGGTGAAGGAGAGCCCGGCAGTGGCGGCAGGGGTCGGAGGAGCGAGGGTGGAGCCGAGGCTAAACAAAGCACGGGATCCTACGCCTATCGCAGCAGGGGAGCCTAAACTAAGCACACCTACACTAGGCAATAGGAACCAGTCACACTACAGTCATCGACATATAGCAGATACAAAGCACAGCTAATCTCGTCCATGTCCATATCAAAGATCCTAACACCATAGCAAAGCAGACTG